GTTTGGAAACGTCAAGAATCTTAAAAGTGACTCTCAGCGGTTCTACCTTACTATATTTTTATCATGGAAAAAGGTATCAAAATTTACACTGAGAGAAAAAACGAAGTATCCCTTAAAATTTAAGGCGAAAATGTATCCAATTGGATATATATGCTGCAAACGGCAACACTGTTTTCTGACACTTTCCTTTGAGCCTCGTTTTCTTTAGTGCTGCCATATAGAGTTTCCGGAGTGCTGTTAATGAATTTAATTGCTTAAGTTACAACTCCACACCAAACTTTTTTTGGCGTTGCTTTCTAAAAAAAATCATAAAAGCTCGTTGTAACATGTCCCCCAAAATGTTAACAATCTCAAATCGAACTTAAGCACATCACTTACTATTGCTGTCCACACTGCAGTTTGAGGTTTATAAAACAGTACAAATGTAGAGAACAGTGTTCGGACTAACCAACTCGATTCAGGACTAATCGCTGCAAAAATCGGAGCAAAAACAAATTTTCCGTACTAGATTGAATTTTTTATGTTCGTTTCTGACATTAATGGTTTGACTTAAATATTTCTATTCCTGCAAAAATAAGAAAGCGAGGCAATGTTACGATATTGTGTTACATAATTAGGTAATTTTCAGCATTTCCTATAAAGTAGAATATATCTAACACTTAATTTTTTAAAAAGCAATAGGATTAAATCATAAATGTCAACTCTGAACGACAAATTTTGACAGATGTATGTAAGCGTCCATAAGAATACAAATAGAATTCCTTGCCTCTGCGAACGTTCACGCTCACGATCGCATTATGCTCGCATTAAACTGTATAGCAAACTTAATGCAGAAATGGAATTGCATTTAGGAGACGGGTTTTGTATGGGTAAATGTACATTAAAGGCCGGTTTTACAATGCATTTTTTTAGTTGAACTTAAGTGTAACTTAAGATTTTGCGTTCCACCAACCACTTTTTGAGCAAACCTTAAGTTCAACTTAAGTCGCGGCCATCGGCGACTAAAAGTAAACTAAGTCGCAAAACAGCTGATTTAGCAAACAGATGCATGTGATAAATTTTGATTGAGAAGTAAACCAATTTGTCGGAAAAATAAAACAAAGGCACAAAATGGATTTTGATTTCAGTTGGGAAGATGATAGTGATTCGGAATACGAAGAGGCACACCAGTAAATCAATGTCATTTGGACCGAAATTTATTCTCCTCTAATTTTCTAACATTTTTGTTAATATATAGTTCAATATTTTATATTTCTTCGCTCAAATATTACACTTTAAAAAAAACCACATAAACTATCTCCTGAGTTGTTTTGTATTTTAAAAAATGTCAAAATATGGAAACAAAGCAGTTTTTGTACTGCTGCCATACTTTTTATCAATATATTTTCCATACTTAAGTACGCATTGCGAACTGCAAACTTGAACAAAACCTTAAACTGTTCTTAGCCAAGATTTTTCTCAGCTAGAACTCAAGTTTAGATTGTGAAACTGGCCCTTAGAGTAGTATTTAGAGCTAAATGCGCTGAATATGCGTAAGCAAAAACAGCCCATTACGCTAACGTTGACGGTGACGCAATGCACGTTATGTACTTTCACTTTTAATCTTTTTAGCCAAGAATGCTAAATCTCAACATATGGACATCCTGGGATTTTGAGGAACTGGAGAATTTCCTAAAGCCTTAAAAAAAGCTTTTAAAACACATTTGCTAGATATCCTAAAAACACATTTAAAGACTAAAGTTTAATTAGTCAACAATTATATATGTAAGTTTATTTGAAACATATTTCTCTTCCAATAGTTATGAAACCCTCCCGTTTAATGCCTTGCGTCAGTCAATGGATTTATTGCCAAAGTAGGCTTAGTAGTGATAGTGGTGGCATGCCGGGTTCAGCGCCTTTGCGGAAACCTTGAATGGAAGATATATGAGATAAACGATCGATTTAGTTACCAAAACGTGGGACTTACCCAAATAAAGCACCATCGGAATGAAACCCCAGTGGAATGTGGTCTTCGCAACATCGTAGACAACTTCCAAACGTTCCTTAACGCCAGGGGATAATGCCATATTAGAGTATTTACGTTAACTGCAATAAAATCGTATAAAAGCAGCAAACTTCTAAAATTTAATGCACTGGTAAATTTTGCACAACACGAGTTTTGTAGCAAATTTGACAAGAACGAAAACAGCTGAGACTTGAACAAAGTTAGCTGTGGAAGCTTTTAGCGTTGCCAACTTCTAAATCAAACAGGGTGCTTAATAAGTAAAAAATTTTATACTGGAATGTGTCAACCAAGATTCGCCTAACCGACGTTACCGGCCGTCTTCACATGCCTGAAAATCCTGCATGCGTTCTGCTTTTTTCTAGATAGTTTTGTTGACTGGGCATTTGACAGCACACTTTTTCATTTGGAAAATGTCGAAGGTTCAAGCCTTGCCAGCTCTTAAAAGTTTGGATAAATTTGAAAATCTCCATAAAGAGAGAAAAAGACGCAAGAAACGGAAAATAATTCAGATTTTTGTATTGCAATCGATAGTTCGTCGATTGTTCTTTAAGGTTGGTTTTTAAGGCATTTGCATTATTCAAATTTGCATTCTACTTCTGGTTGAACGGCCTTTCAACTAATCGCTTTCAACAAAGTTGGTCGGCAGCCATTAGCCATTCAACTTTCTTTTCATGCAACCCTCCGTGAGATGAACGCAAAATCGCCTTGTGCGAATACCTTTTAAGCCGAACATATATAATTAATTTTTTACATTTAACAGTTCCTTCATTTATCACTCCAGGTGTAAGAATTTCATTATTTGTTAACTGTGATAAACCGTGTGTTCGTCGCTAGTTCGTCGTTTTTTCATCCCTAAAATCGATCAAAAGCCGTTAATAAATTCATCATTTTTACTTTACCAAAAGCTCTCACTTTCTTTTTTGACGATATTTTACAAATGAAAAAGGATTCTGTCAAATGCCCAGTCAACAAAACATTCACATGCCAGCATGTAAAGACCACCGGTATGTAAAGTAGTTTTCTAGAAATTCTACCTCATCTACACCCTGTTTCTAGTAGTTAAAAAGCCACTCTGTCCTGAATCGTCTCTTTTCTCTGCGAGATTTTGTGCGAGGTGCACGCGAATAAATTTTGCCGAACTCGACGTCTGTCTTGAATAATTGTGATTTGCAATATAATTTGTATAACGCATAGCGCCAGTTTCAGTTGCATCTACGCATCCAAGCAATATAATTATAAGCAAATAAGAAAAGTAAGTGCTCTTGGCCAAAAATTATAGTTGGTAATTGAACTTGATTCGCGAACTTCCTGAACACACATTCGCTAAAATTTTTTCTTTGTTATGTAAGTAGACTAGTGAAAGAAGTGATCCAACAAATGTGAGTGGGTGTGAATAATTGAAATAGCTTTTTAAGTCTGCGCAGGATATCGTTTTTATCAACGCAGTGCCGCATTGCAGGCAGACATATCGATTTAGTGGTCAAATATTTTCTGACCTTTTGACGGCCACGGTCACACGTGATACGGCATGAGATTACTTTGAAGAAATTTTGAGTACTGTTTATGAATTTGTACAACGATTTTGGGTTGCTGTGCCCAAACGCGTGAATCGAATCAAAAACCTTTTACCCACACTTGTGGACAACAGTTCACGCTTTATTACAAAAATTGAATTTGGGTACTGTTTAGTAAGTGGCCCACCTATTTCGGGGTATTGCGTCCAAAGGGGTGACCCGATCCAAAAAAAAATTTCACACACTTGTAGCCAAGGGTCTACCCATTATTTTAACATCCACTATTGTAATTTTGGGTCACTAATTTATTTACAAATTGGGTTTGAAATATGCCCTTTTTTGTAAAATTCGGAAATTAGCGTAAATTTATCACTCCTATTCTCCTTAAAGCAGCTACGTCAGCAATATATTTTTATATTCTCCTTCACTTTGCACTTTACTCGATGAGCTATAACTTTCTTTATAACTTTAATATTAACCAATTAATCACAATTTATTAAATAAAAACACCTTCTAAATCATGCGTCTGACTTTTGTTGCATATGCAAATTAAATGGCGTAGTTCAGCTGTCAAACTCCAAAATATGCAAAAGAATGAGAGACAAAAGAAAATAGGATATAACCCTGTAAGAATTAAAAATATACAAAGGTGTTCTCTGCAAAAGGTGTTCAGCCCCCCTTCTTTGGCAACACAGCAAGGAGAATTCTACTGCCTGAGGGTTATAATCCCTAAGTGCGGCCGA